CAAATGTGCCCTTAGATGTAAAAAAAGAGCAGACGTGCATTTAAAAAAAAAAAAAAAAAAAAATGGTCAGCTGTCGGAGCTTACGTGCTGAATTGTGTTGTTTATGGAAGAGGCCATGAGGTGATGTTCCAGCCAGAGGTGAGAAACGAGCGCTGCAGCGGTCGTCCGGGGTCTGATCCCAATGGGTAATAAATCAGATATGTGGAGCCCGGAACACTTCATTTAGCCTATGGTGCCGATGTGTCAGAAAGGATTACGCTCTAGTGCAAATATGATACGACGACATCCAACTGCATAATGCACGAAGAAAAAAAAAAAAAAAAAGATCTGCTATGTTTGTTTTGAAAAGCTAAATCTACAATCGGTCACATTTGAAATGATTAAAAATCAGAAGGTCCTCTAATTTTAAACAAATGCAGGGTTTCGTTTCACAAGGCAGAATTCTTCGGAGAGTGCATTCGGAGAGAGCATGTCAGATGCATTTATCTCCCATTGAAAATGTCACCATCTGTACAAACATGCAGAGGACACTGGCAGCGAGAGATCAGGAGAGCACACAGTCTTGCAGATGAACAGATATAGCGCCGACTTATTCAAAGAGACAGAAGAACACAGAAAGATCTGCCTTTCTTCAAAAGAAAGGCTTTGTATGCCGGACAGTCAGGGTAATAATTGGAAAATGAATGGGTTTGAGACATCCAGCCTGAATTCTCCTACTTTACATTCTGGTGGCTCTCTAATTTCTCAGCTCAATCAACCTAATGGAAAAGAGGTCAGGAGTCATTCAGTAATTTTATTCATACTTTACAATGGACCACTTGATAATAATTCTCTCTCAACAGAACACAGGTTTCTCAAAAAAAAAAAAAAAGCAAATATAATCCCCTAACCTTGATTCTTATTTTTGCCTCCTTTCAAAACAAACTGCTTGGTATGGAAAGTAATATACAACACACTGGAACGACTTAATGCCGAATATCAAAAATGTTATTTATTTCAGCCATTCAGCTGAAAAGGTAAAAAAATATGTAGCTTAGTTGTTGAGTAATGAAAATATAAAATCCCTAAGTATTTCAAAAGATCAATAAAAATCGCATTATTAATGTTACGACCTACAGAATCATAGGAAAGACAGTTAACCTCATAATCATCCAGCAGATAATCACCGACACACTCCACAGGCCACCGAGGTCACTCTTTAGGAAGTTGGGTATGTCCAAGCAAACTGCTGGAAAATTTAGTGAAAGAAAAAAACTGTGGTAGAAATAACACAAGCAATAGGGATAACTTTTAAAAAGACATTTACACACTACGAACTGAGGTTTTGTCAGGGCCACTACGCATATCCAGGACATGAGCCACATTTTATGAGTTAAGGTACTCCTGAAACAGTGACACCACTAGAAGCATATTACCTGAGCTAAGGAGACAAAAAACAACGCTGACATGGTCAAAGAGACAAAAGAACAAGGAAAAAGCCTTTGTTCAAAAGAAAGGCTTTATATGCTGGACAGGGGGGGGGGTAATAATTGGAAAAGGAATGGTCAGGGTGGAGACATCCAGCCTGAATTCTCCTACTTTACATTCTGGTAGCAATATTTTCTGAGCTACATGTATGATTGAATTAAAATGACTTTTTTGAAGATGACATGTTGTGTATTGGTGTAACATAAATAAAGTGAACTAGCTCGGTGGTTCAAAGTCCTCTTCAAATGGGGCTTTACATGGAGTTTAAGGTCCCAGAGTCTGGGCAAAGAGTGCAGAGACACAGAATCCAAGATAACTGACATCCAGTATGACGTTTCCACCGTTAGTGATTGTTTGGACAGCCATGTAATTTGCTGGTGTTTGTCCGTTTTATGTCATCAAGACCAAAGTCAATGTAGACATCTACCAGAAAACATCAGAGCGTGTGATGCTTTCCCCTGCTGACAGACTTTATGGAGATGTTGATTTCAGTTTCCAGCAGGAACTGGCACCTGACCCACACTGCCAGATGTACCAACACCTGGTTTACTGAGCGTGGTCTCTCTGTGCTCGGCTGACCAGCTAAGTGCCCTGACTTAAACCCCATTAGAATTTATCGACTATTATAAAGACGAGGATGAAAGACGCCATGGCTAGCAATGCAGGAAAACTGTAGGCTGCTATTAAAGCAACCTGGGATACCTTTAAAATCTCAGCAGATGACCTCCATGCCATGTCGAATTGACGCAGTAATTCATCGAAAAGGAGGCCCATCCAAGTACAGAGTGCATATAGTGTGCAGTTTATGAACATAAGTCTCCCCCCCAAAATTGAGAGAAATACATCACTCAGTGTGTAATTAATCAATACAAGTCTCATTTCAATACAAACACCTGTGTGTGAAGATAATTACTTTTCTCCGAGTAGGTTTTGCATTTGCAATCTTAATAGAGTAAGAACAGTATCGTTTCACAGCAGAGTCTCTGAGGTTTTCCAATTTGTTTGGTGCTTTGCAGCATTCTGCAGACATCCTGAAAACCGCTTCCACACAGAACGCCGTGGTCATTTCAGTAATCATCTGCCTGTCGAGAATCAAACAAACATCTGCTTGCACAGCAGAAGGTTGCCATCTCCAGCTTGTATAAAAGGTGCTTTGTGTTATGCTCTCGCTTCTCGGTGACACTGCTGGCCAACTGGCTCCACAAACGAGGGCCGTCGATAGTTCGTGGAGGCGGGACATGCTACGGATGACGTCACCTGGCGACAGACTCCCTGAAAGTCAGGCGTTACCCACATGGATACAGCTCAGTAAAATGAAAGCGAAAGAGATGCCTTGCTTAGAGGAGAAGAGAAAGAATTATTCTTGCCAAAGTATAACGTTTCTGTATTTAGAGATGTTTTTTCAGGCAAAACTGTTATGGCAGATAAATGACAATCAAATACAGCCTAGTCTCTCTTCTCTAAAGGAGCTAAAAATGTCACAATTGAACACAAGGGAAACAAAGAGTGTTAGTAAACAAGTGAGAAAAAAGGAGACACGGTTTAAACTGAACATTTACCTTTGTCAGAGAGCGGTCATCAAAGTAATTGTTCTATCTTTTTCGATGTCTGTAAGCATGTGGCGTGTTTGCTTTTTGTAAATCAGCAGGCAGAGATGGAATTCTATTCTATTTTTTATTTTTTTTTTGTCAGAGCCTCAAAAACAAGCTGCAGAGTCACGATGCCAGCACCATACCTGTGGTATAATAATTCATCATCTCTGCTAGCTTTTTCTCATGCTTCTGTTGTACCAAAAACTGACATTGTCTTTAATTCTGATAAATGAGAAAGTAGATTAAGAAACAAGTCGTTTTTGTATCTGTCAAAGAAGCGCAGTGCTCAACGGTATGTCCTTGTGCTTATCACCAGGTGTTAAAAAAAGTACTATTTTGGACACTACTGAAGAAATTCAGCTGGGAAACCTCAAACATTGTTAGATCATAACAGATTCATTCTGTAACATCTATAAAACAACTTATATTTAGTGGGAGTCTCAGTTTTTGTCTTGCAACGTATTTTGGTGGATGTCAAGTGAATCTTGTGGGGGTCGAAACGTAAAGAAATTATGCAGACTTTGCAAAACATGCTTATGATGCATCCCTCTTTTGTATAATATGCATAGTATCTTGGGTGAAGTGCATAAAATTCACTGTCAGGTTAAGTTGTTTGATGATAGGGTAATTAATTTAGCTCACATTTAAAAGTCCAACCATCTTGGGCTGAATGTTAATGCTCTGTGCACTGTTTGTGAGAGACACACCGCGTGGTCAAATATTGATGTCAATTAACTGAGAAAACATTTCACACAGCTAGGTGAGAAGATTTTCATCAGAGCAAACAAAAGGTCTGCAAATTACTACATTGACATCATGTTACTGCAGAGATAAAAGATTAACACACATTCAGATTTTTTTTCTGCAGTTGTGCATGTACAAAGTAAGTTGTAACAATACTACAAGAAACCAGGATCCCAAGAAAGACACTGTATTCAATGATGGACAAAAATATTTTAAAGCGACAAAAATATCACTACTAACAAAATAAAAAAGCGCATTTAGCTGTAGCGCCGTTCAATTTCGGTTTCTGCTAATTTTGCATCATATTTTCTTTCGCGATCTGCTTCAAAACCAAACCAAACCAAACCAAGTTTTCCATCTTTCCTTTTAGCCTTTTTTGGGAGGGTGTGGCCTGATGTGCTAGTAAATCTCAACAGAGGACTGGGGTCATGGGCCCTAATTGACATACCGATGCAGCTGGAGAACATTCTGGGATTTGTAATATTTACTGTGCACCGCCTACTAGCAGGGCAGCATAGACTACATTATGACAGCAGCACACTTATCGTAACTACACCACCTCTGGGAATGGGATGGGAGTTAAGTGCCTTCATTTAGAAGGCACAGAAATGTTTTAAAACCTGATTTTACATTCTGATTTAAAAAGGGTATGATCATGCAGTGGTCTCACTATAGTGTGCATGTGGTTCATTTAAAGTGTATTAAAAGAACTAGTTTGCTTTTTATTGAAAAAAAGCAAACTAGCAAATATCACTAATGGACTTAGTGGTGAACAGAGATAAAGACAACAGGTAATACATTTATTTAATTGCCAACAGTAAAAAACAGAAAGTGAGGCTAAAACAGTGCTGCTAGTTTTATAGAGATTGAGTGCATTCTGGATATGTGCCTGCAATACACTTAGTCATGATGTCATCAAAACCTGCAAAGTTTTAGAAGAAAAAGTCTAAAAATGGTGGGAAAAAAGGGGTTGCTTCAGAACACTCAATTCTGAAAAACTTTTCTCAAGCCTGCCTACAGATCTGCAAAAAACCCCTAGAATCATGATGCATAAACACCTGCAGAATCCTGTATGTTTGTGTTTATTTGTTATATGTAATACTCAGGAAAAGTTGTTTGTCTCTGTGATTCTTGACAGATTTTTATTTATTTATTTATTTATTTTTTTTACAAAGCATCTCTCTTCATGTCTCTTAGGAAACATGGTGAGCAAGGAGGGTAGCAAATGCATGCTCACCAACTCAGAGTCCGACTCAGAGGCACCGCCTTTGCCCTCCACTTCCCTGGCACTGGAGTATTCCCTGGAAGCCAGTCGACAGGTGAGGAAGAGAAACAAAGCCCTGCAAGTGCGCTTCAAGGACATCTGCGAGGCACAGAACGAGCAAAGGGAGGCGGAGCTGCAGGCGGCGGGGAAAGGCGGCAAGCCAATGTCGTACAAAGTGGCGTACCGCAAGTACATGACCGTCCCTGCCCGCAGGTCCATCCCAAACGTCACCAGGAGCACGGGCGTCCAGACGTCCCCGGACCTAAAGAAACGTTACCAGACCTTTCCCTTTGAGCGCAAAAAAGGCCACACATTTAAACACGTGGCAGCTGTGGAAACGTATAAAGGTCACAATAACGGTTTTGTCATGGAGGCGAAGCAATCCAAAGCGGCTGAGCAGGGTTTAGACGAGGAGGAGGAGGGGGCGAGCAGAGGGAGAGGAGTCCTGAGGACCAGGGCTCTGCTCCATACTAATGAGTGCATTGCCACAGTGGAGCAGCACAGTGCACCTGATGGCCTGTGCTCCGACGCTTTGCTGCTCAGTTGCACTGCAGACACAGACTGCCTTGCGGGTACGCCGAGAGGAAGCGGAGCTGGAACACAAGGGGAGTACCAGCTTTGCAGCGTCCCGTCCAAAGCCGGAACTGGATTACAACACAGGGAGTCCGACGTAGACCGCCTGGCCAAGAGGCAGCTGCTCAATTTGGAGGAAGGCTCGTCCCGAACTCTCCCGGACAGAACCTCCAAGGTTACGGGCCCCATCGCCTGGAACTCTCTCACACAGGTGGAGTGCCTGGACAGTCCGTCTGTGCAGAGCAAGAGGAAGAAAGGCCTGCAGCTGAACGGACTGTCTAGCGAGACTCTACCGCGAGCCAGCAGGGGCTGTACAACGCAGGCGCAGTGCAGTACAGGGCAGCTTTCAGCCCGGCCTATGCGGGGCATGGATGAGCCTCCGTCAGGCTGCATGGGCGGTCAGGCTGATGGGGCTCCCTCCGACCAAACACAAGAAGCCTGCAAGCAAATAGTGCCTGTAAACCAGGACGGGGATGTAAAAGCACAGCTTCAAGCCATGGAAAACCTCATCAGTTCCAGTCAGGAGACCATCAAAGTCCTGCTGGGCGTCATCCAGGAACTGGAAAAGGGAGAGGCCCACAGAGAAGGGTAGGAGACCTCACTTGCATCTTAACACCAGAAATTCAAACATTCTTTTTTTTTTTCCTGCTATGTCACAGAAAGATTTCAGCTTTTTTTTTATAATGAGAATTGCATAGAGCTCAATAAAAGCCATTGTTATACAAATAACATGAGACCCAGACATTCTGAAAATGAGTCTGCAGCCAGCCGTGACTTAAGTTATTCTGGAAAGAGTTCAACTTTAGCAACTAAATAAACTGAAACAAAACTACTTGCTTTCTCAGAAAGAACAGGCATGTATGAGAGCCAGTTTGTGCCTCAAACCTAAAAAGAAAACATGAGCTAAACCCAGTGTAATTAATTGTTCAATGGGAACGGTGTTAAAGGGCCGGAGGTCAGAGGTTAACGTCAGCATTTGTGATCAAAGCTAATCCTATTTTTGCTCATCGGAGCTGCTACTAAAACACACTGCAACATTTCGGGTTTTTTCCAGCTTTCACAGACATGCCTTGCAGTGCTTTGACATTGTAATGACATTTTCAATGATAATTTCCCTCCAGATATCCCGCAGCTGCTGCTGAGAATACTTGCAGATGCCTTGAAAAATATTATACGTTATGTTAAAACCACAAACCTCGACGTATTTCAATTGACTTCAATGCCCATTCATCTCAAAGCAATGCATTTGTTTATTGGGATGTTATATATAAACAAACATCCAAAATGTCTAGACTGAAATTTCTGTATAATCTTCTTTTACAAATCTTCAAGCTCGGTCAGACTAGACAAATAGTGCCAGAGTTCAGCAACTGGCATACCTTGCCACAGGTTTTCAATAACATTTAGGTCTTAGACTTTAAGTGGGTCTAATTCACTTTTGATCTAATTCAATCCAATGTTTCTCTGGCCTAAACCTCTTGCAGGCTGATGACACATGAAGCTACCACCACCAAATGTAACAGTGGGGATGGTGTGTTTAGGATACTGCACCATTTTAGTGCTCGGCACACAAAGATAAGCACAAAAGCCAAAAAGTTCAAAAATCAACTTATTCCACATTCTTGGTCAGTTTAGATGGACGGTCACGACTTGTCTTGTCGGTCATACCGTGCTCTTTCCGTTTTCAGATGACTGGTTAAACCGTCATCTGCGAGATGATTAAGAACCCAATATAATTAAATACTCAGCCGAATACGTGTCCTTTCCTTTTATTCTGTCTACAGTGAACTGTTGAGGCCTTCATAAAATAACTAGATTCATTCAAAGATTAAATGAGACTTGGACTGAACTGTGGAGCAGCTGGTAGCACCGTTTACAGCAGCAAGAAGGTCCTGGGTTCGAATCCCAGACTTGGTCTTTCTACATGGAGTTTGCATGTTCTCCCTATGAAAGTCGTGCTCTCTCTGGGTACACCACCTTCCTCCCGCAGTCCAAAAAAAAAAGGACTGTTGGGTTAACTGGTCTCTCTAAATTGTCCTCAGGTATTTATGTGATGTATGGTCACACATTTCCTTTTGGAATAAGTAAGAATGCTAACGTTCAGGTTTAGAAGGAGGAAAAAATACACATTATTTGGAAACATCACTTTTCTTTTATTCCGTTTCTTTGGGAAAAACACCCCCACTTGACAGCAAATTACGTCCAACTTTATCCCTCACTCTCAAATGTTTATCTAGAATGTGCGAGTACTCAGCAAAAGGCCCAGACTGTGAAAAAGCCATTACTGTCCAATGGATGTGGAGTTTATACAGAAGGGCAGCAGATAGCATCGGGTCTGCCGAAATAGACAGTCCGTCTAAAGTGACCCGGCAAACAAAAAAGGACGATTTGTTGAGCCAAATGCAACAGCTCAGATTCTCAGATTCTTATCTGCTTTCAACAGCACTGGGTCAAAGTTTGGAGGAAAATATGCCAAAAACATGACACATTGCTATTTCTCATAAATCAGAAATGTCTCTAAGGGTCTGATGGCTAGTTTTGGTCAGAACATGACTGATGAGATGAGGGTTAAATTATAAAGCACAGCATGAGGGAGGCAACGATGGGAGTTCACACCATCTTAAAAAGTCAATTATCCTCCTGCAATCTCACATAAGGTAACTCTAATCCTCTTATCACCCAACTCATAAAAAAGTGCAATGAGTAAAAAGTAAACAGACACGAGGTGCAGAACGGCAATCCATCTTCAGTGTTGCACGGCACATCTGCCTTATCAGATGTGCCTCTAGTGACAGGTGGGGAAGAGAAGGTTTTATTAACTTAAATTTGTTGCTGCTGTTTATTAACACCATATGTTCAGAGGAAGGCAGAAAAAAAGCATTATGTTTCTGATGATTAATCACTAAAACCTGTCTTCTGTTGGAGTCAGTGAGCAGCATAATCCCCCTTGTAATCCATTCAGGGTCAGAATAACCCATTTCCACCTATGCAGGAACAGTTTTCTTCTTGTGCATGTTTCCATTATTGTAATGTGGGGATTAAGATCTGCACTGTTACCAGTGCTCCATCCTGCGTTTTCCTATTTTACCTATTATTGTAACTCATACAAAAGGTGGAGCCACCCATATGCTCAAGGTGAATTATGTCTTTTAAACAGCTTCCTAACGCGGAGATGACCTGATCTAATGCAACATGTCGGCTCAGAGGCATTTTCAAATTATCTGTATCTTGAGTCCTTGACTAAATTCAGCTCTTGATACCTGGCGTTTGTGAAATATCTGGAATATTAAGCTAAGATATATAACAATAACTTAAACGTTTATATGTATTAGAGGCTCGTTACTGTATGGATCTAATGAGTGTGATTCCCCCCCCAAACATAGCTCAATACACGCTCAACGACAACAGAGAAATTAGTTCCGTCTCCCAGAGGTGCATGATATCATTTTGATATAGGAGTTCTTGCAGCTTGCTGTTGAAGCATATTCTGGACACAATGTTTTTCCTGTGTGGTATTCTAGAAATATGAGTGGGAGAGATCAATGTAGACCTAGGAGTTCTGCACTTGAGTCCTTGTACAGCATGGTGTAGCCTGGACAGAAAGAAATGTGTTGTTGTTCCTGCCACCTCGAGTAAAACTACAAAGTTCTCTGCTCTTGCTGATGTATACGACTTCAGGGAAAAATAACAGAAGGCCCTAAGTAAAAAAAAAAATGTATTTTCAAAAAATAAGGATGAGGGAAAAAAAAAGGAAGCTCTGTCTCAAAAATAAGTTGAATTTGAAGAGGTTTTCATGTTATTTTTTGTTTTATTTATTCATTTTTTTCAGGATAGAGTTATGAGGTATTCCACGTTTCAAATATTTTGAGGCATGTCAGCACGTCTCTTTTTGGGTGAGTGTAACTGGTGTGGAGAACCAAAAGACTTTTTCCAAGTTTCCTCCAACTTAGTTTTAATAACTTTCTAGAATTGCCACCCTCATGGTAGGAGTATGTTGGACTAGCTCTGTACTTTTTGCTGACTTTTATTCAAAACATTTTGGTTGAGGCATTGTTTTTTTTTTTTTTTTTTTTTTTTGGAGAATTGCTCCCTCTGGTTTTGGATGATGAGCGATTGAAGGATTTTTGTGCAAACTTCCAGGCAGTTGTTATGATGTATAACTGTGGCAACAAGGTGTTGTTTTTACAACTGGGAACAGCTGATTAGCGTCTAAATATCTTAACTACGACCCCGAATCCCAGATGAGTTGAAAAGGAGGCTTCCTGGATGCAGAGAAGGACCAAAGAGCAGAAGGAGGAGAAGGAAGTGCCATCCAGAAACATGAAACCGTGGAATACCATCTCTTTTTGTTCCCCCCACGATAACAAGCAACTGAGGAAAAATTAGGTTCGTGGGCAGGAGTAGTTTTGATTTCAAAAGAAAATGAAGAAACTACAAGTTTATGCCATCAAAGCATATGTCTCAAACTTGATTTTAATAAACCAAAAAAAATTACATCCAAGTAAATGACTTTGGCTAATTTACACAGCAACGATTGTGTTTCTCATTTTACTTTTCTTGTGAAAAGGGCGAGGGGGGGGGAAATATTTTTTTTAATTTGACCTGCTGATTGTTCAGAGCCAATCCAAAGACAAATTAGCTGACTAGATGCTTTATTCCTACATATGAAAACACTAAGCAGCATTACGGCTGTAAAGCACTCTAATATAAATATGTTGGATCCACACTGCACAGCTTGGGCACATTGCTGTGTTATAAGAGTGGTGGCAGACTAGAGCCAATTAATTACTTTCTCAGGGACTTGTTGCTAACCTGTCTATTAGCACTCTGTATGTGTGCTTGTTTTCTCACTGCTGGACAGCCACCCACACAGTGACCTTTGAGAAAGCTCTCCTGGTCGTAACCAAGGGTGGAGGGTGTATAAAAATACATTTAATGGCACTTTTGGCTTCACTCTTCCCAGGGGACGCCTGCCAAAATGAGCCCTGGTCTCTTATTTCCTCTTATCAGCTGGCCAAGAGCAAAGAGTAGGAAGACACCGAGAAGGTCTGAGAGAATACTGTGAAGCTGTTCAGATGATTCAATCCAGTTGCGCGGCACACTTATTGATTGGCTCACCGACTGGGAAGTTTACGACCTTTCGCGCTGCTCTAAAATATAAACTTGGAAAGCCAATTAATTACATTTTATACACAAATAATCCCCGGTGGAAATGTTCTGTTTGCAATTACCTGAATCTCTTGCGATATTGCTGTCAGCGTCTCTCTCCCCTGTCTGAACAAGGGGCAGTGCAGTAGATAAAAAGGAGGAATTTACGACAGGAGCTTAATTTTTATAGGTGCTGCAACCGATGGGCAGCGAGACAAGTGCAGTGGTGACGGAGCTGAGTGCTGTCTCTGCTGCAGAGATGAGAGACAACATTTATTAGGGAATCCAAAATATCCTCGCTGAAAGGAATAACGTGGCGGCATTTACCGCAGCTTCTGTTTGACGATGCGACGTTCAACGATAAATGTTTAAATCCACCCAAACAAACGAGCCCCGTTTATTTGCACGTCTCTTGTCTTTATTCCAAGATGCTGTGACGTGGTTTAGTGAAAGTAACAGTTTCCTGTTTTCCACAGCCTAAAGGCATGTGTGTTCACTTCATTGTTGACTGTTCACAGTTGTTGCCGTCTGTGTCTCACCCATCTGATTGCCTCATAACGTCTTCATTTGTCATCACATTGGCAACAGAGGCGAGCTCCAACATGCTGGCCTGAGTAGAATAAACTAAATATAAATTATAAACTTTGGCTGCGCGGATATTCCTTCAAGTCTAGACAAACTCTCAACAGTCTTCATTTTAAAGGCCAGCTGTTGTTGTTTTCCCTGTTTAGTTAGCTGCATTAGTAATGTTATCCAACAAATGTTGTCAGCAGCAGCCTGACTGACTCTGGGTTTTTATGATTTCTATATTGCAATAAACCCTTCAATTGTAAGGGAACCAAAAAAAAAAAAAAAAAAAAAAAAAAAAAAAACAAACATTTATTTTGACGGCTATTGTGAAATCGCAAGCTGTCATTTCTTTGGTAGTACAGCAACATTAGTACCGACTGTGTGCGCCTCTGATGACTCATGCTTGAAGGAGAGACTGATGAATATAGAGTTTATAACAAAGCATGCAGTCTTACATAAGTGCTGGAGAATATATCATCATTGCGATATCAATTTGGACATAATGGAAAGGATGGCTTGGAATGCAATTTTTGCTAGTTGTTGCCTACAATACATTAAATTCAGTCAATATCCACTGCAGCCCCTAAGAATCATATTCAGAGGTATTATCAAACATTATCAAGAATAATGGGGTTGAGCCAATACCTTGGTCTTCAACAACTTTTGTTGCTTGTGCTGAGGGGAAAAAATGCCAAGGCTTAGGCAAACACACACAACTCAAAAACCCGAAATAGACATCACTCTCATATGTAAAAGGAAGATTTTCACAGTTCATATCTGTCTAACAAATTATGTCTATACAACAAGGAATGAGGCAACACTAACTCTTTTTGGCTAGCAGTGACCATAATCTGCAAAAAAAGAACCACAAACAGGCAGGGGTTCTGCTGCTTTTTTACCTTGAATGGATGAAATGCATTTTGAATGATATTCAACATGTCGTCATGACAGTAAAGGGATTTAAAGATGCTTTTGTATTTTCTATCCAATCAATACATGTGCACAGTACAGATCATCACTTTATGTCACATTAATGATTAATGATTTATACATCACAATGAAACCAAGACAGGCAAACGTAAAAGCAAGCGAGCTGAAGTCCAAAATGATTCTGAATTTACAAGTAATAACTCATTCAGCTCCTTTAAGACATTGCTCTGCACCAAACAGAATAATCAATGGGAAGATTATTCAGCAACGAATACATAAAAAGGTCAACAATAGAGGGAAGCAGGAAAAGAAAATTAGCTGCGCATAAAATTAAAAACGCTGTATTACCTATCGGAAGCCATTTTTTTCTTTCCATTTTATGTCAAAAGTAATGTGCTATGTTTGCAGTGTTACAAACTTTAAGTCCTTGCTTAAAACGTGAAACTTTAGATGCAAATATCAACCTTGCCTTAGTTGCCATTTGACCTGATCAGCCTCCATACAATGACCCACAGCTAATGGATGACGATGTGCACTTTCTACTGGGCAGAAGCCACTGAGGAGGGCAAAGGAACTCCTCATCACCCTCATTTACCCCAGGCTCCCTAACGAAAGATGACAAATAAGATGAGAAAGGAAAGGTGTGAGGCGGCAGCTTAACAAGTCCTGTAATTACTCATTCACGACTCTCATCTCTCTCCCCCCCCCAGACTCTCCTATCGAACCGGACAGGACACGGCCAACTGTGACACATGCCGGAACAGCGCATGCATTATTTACAGGTGAGTGGTCGTTCATCTTCAAAGACAAAAAGATCCACATGTAACCTGTCCTTTCTCTCCTTGAGAGCGAGCGGAGGAGTAAAACAGGGTCGGGACGAGCAGAGAGGGAGCAGCAATGGAAGCAAGGCTAATGTGAAATGCTGCTCATTAGCGCTGAGTGGGCACGGGACGTTTACACAGCACCATCTCTCTCAAAACCTATACATCTTTAGCCAACTGTCCAATTATCCCCTCAGGCCATTTTGTTCACTGACTGGTGCCAAGCAGGTGTGCAGTTAGCAGGACAAAAGGGTGCGCGGCTGAAATACAGAGAGGTCACATGCAAGAAAATTGAGTGAACATGGGGCCGTGAAAGGTTAAATTAATTAATGTCAAACATCATAAAATTTTATTGGTGGGTCCAGTTGCCATGCCGACTCAAAAGCTACGCTCAGCCTCCAGTAAGCTAATTTTATAAGCTGTAAAGACACGAGTGCAAAGCCATTAGTTAATCAGGAATAAAAGTAAGGTCTCGTTGTTGTATTTGTCTTATCACAAGAGTGCTTTTAGTTCTAGTGCTGGCTCTTCAATCAGCCTAAAATAGTTTGCTTTCTCACACCATCAGAGCAAAATGATTATTTCTGGTGGACAAGCAGCTTATAAATATTTCCTTTAAAAATTCAAGATAGAAAACTGACTCTTGACATTTGATTGAATGATTTCCAGGGCAGTTTTTTTTCCATTTCTAGTAACATGCGCACATAAGGAAATCAATAATTATTAAATTTAGCTGGACTGGGCTTCAGCGGTGACCGATTGGTTGGAATCTTATACTTTTGTGAGCAGCGAATTCAGCCTACATAAACACTTACACCACCACTCTTCAGTGTGGAAACTGCTAATGTGGGAAAAATGCTATTTACAATATCAGTGAGGGGATTATAATATGACTGGGGGAAGCATGGACATGTTTGAAGCTATCCAATGTAATTTTCAATTACATGAGAGAGCAAAATTTTCAGCTGACAACAGGAAGGCTAAATGGAGTGAGTTTAGTTTTTGACTTTTAAATATCAATGTTGGAGTGAGGAATATTCTCTATGAAATACACATGGAGACCACTGATTTTGCAACAAACTACATAAATTAGCTAGCATGAGATCCTAAAGAAGTTTTCAATCTGAAAATAAGTATTTCATGCTTTCCTTTCAAATATTTAAACCCAATTTTATAGCAGCAGCAGATTTTACAACTACTGCTGCAATTTATTAAACCTTTACAAAAAAAAAAAAGCATTTCTAGTTTTGAGACATCCAGCAAAAAGAGATTTGACAGACATTCAATGAACACATAGTAGCACTATGAGAGTCCAAGTGCCTGGCTCTAGTCTGACTTTCTCAAGAATTCGTAGGAAATTTTAACACAAGGTGAGAAGAATATGTGCCAGTGGTAAGCGGTCAAAAAAAAATGTGAGGTAAAGATGGGAGACAAAAAAGGAGATCTTTAAGCTGCAAGGAGTGTAAGAAGCTATCAAAGCTTTAAGTTAATGGTCACTACCGCTCCATGCAGTCTGAGTGAAGAACCATTTAAATCATATTTTATCTCAAACTCTCTCCATAACTGATGAGCCTCTGGCTAAACTTCAGTCGAGATGCACAGTAAAGCTGTGTGTTTTCTGATGTTTGAGTCGGAGGAATTCCACATTATCTTGAAGTGCTTTCACAATCTCTGCAGGTGCCCCAAACCACTGCGGGGACGACGGCATGAGAAAGGTGCCCTAAAGGCAGCTTGGCGTCAGCGAGACGAGCAGAGTCTAGATGAATGATGGCATTTGACATGAATTACACAGACGGGGCACTAATTAAAAGGACATGATTAAGTTAAAGGGTTGCAGGGTGAATACGTTAAAAATGAACTTACCTATTCAATAGCCATGCCAATTCTTTCTTTAATCAGCAACTGATATGCCCCTGGCTAAACTTCTACTTCTATATGCTGAAAAATCCTACAGTTGCGAAAAGCTCATATTGGCTGAAACTTTATTTGATCGAATGAAATGTTTGATTTCACTGGATCAAATATTTATAAAGACTTTCAATTTTCAAATACGAACTATAAAAAGTATTTTCATTTTGATCAAGTTCCAATAAATATTATGCATCAGTCGTAAAACGCATCACTTATATTTTTTGCCTCTATGTCATATAAAAGATTTCAGAGAGAATGACACACGTGAAAAAACCTGCAAACCTGAGAAATCCACATTGTCTTCTAAAACTGCACCAATCAATCGGAAAGCTACATCTTTTGGAAGGAGAGATGAAAAACAGAAAACTCTGCACATAACGAGGCTCATTTTTTTGACAAAACCTTGTCAGCGCTTGGCAAGGTTTCCGCTTGATAAAGGGCAGAAATTTCCCACAGAGCCGTTTGAAATTTGCTACATTGACCCCAGTTCATCTTGAAGACACTCACTCGACATGGTTAATAGCTTTGATTGGACACAGAATCAAATATAGCAGTTGTATTCACAGAGGCAGAGGGATTAAACAGCAATCTAATTACTCAGATCTCCATGAAAACAACCTCTCTGGAGGTGGAAGAACACAGGATAGGAAGCAGAGGCACAGAAATAAAAAGGATGCAGCGCTCTGGTATGTGGGAAGAATAGCTGTCAAGGGCGTCTAGCAGGATTTTCTTGTCTTTAGCAAGCTCTTCTACCACTGGAGTCTAGTTTTAACATGATCCTTTGTAAATATGTGGTAAAAGTTTTGATTTTCAAAACAGTGATCGCGCCGACCGCAACTTTGAGACTGCTGCTCTTAAACAAGATGTGAAAACACTTCAACATGAGCTGAATGCATACTCAGAGGTTTAAAATATTGGAGGTTTTAATACATCATCAAAAGGTTGAATGAGGGCAACACAATGGTAGGAGGACCGCAAATAAACAGAAACAAACAGATTACGTTGCATCATTAAAGGGCAAAACCACTTAAAGACGCACATCGTTCTGGCAAATGGAAATTGTGTAAGAATTTGGTAAAATAAATCTTTTGCCAAGATTTGTGGTTTTTGGTACATAATATCCAAAAAGCTCAGGTAATCTGGAGAAATCTCCATGGACAAATCACACAGTTGAAAATCAAACTGAATGTTTGCGCTCTCAGGCAGTGCGACATTAAAAGCAGGCGTCAGTCTGTCACGATAGACGCTCTTCGAACTTGGGATCACTTCCTGGAATCATTCAGTACAAAGACATTTCACCCGTCTATTAAAAAATGCATGTTGAACCATTATGGATGGAACCCATGACCTATACAAGCAGCAGAACTTACATGCAATAAAAAAAAAAAAAAAATCCACTTTATGATCAGGTCAGTCTGCCACAGCCCACTGTGCTAGTGCAACATGTACCCTTAGTGTTGGTTTAAGCTGCATTTGTATGCATGTCAGTGCTATTGTGCTGAACTCGGTCTGACGACTCCAGGAAACATACGGGTCCATAAATCATTTTCCTGCAGCTCAGTCAGGACTCAACTGTCCTGTCTTTTAAAATAATCAATTTGTCCAAGAGAATGTGGTATAATCCAAACAAACACTTAGCATAACAACAGCCAGATTAATGAAGTTGTTAGTCTAGGGGCTCGCACTTCAAAACAGAATGCATGAGCTGCTTGAGTTTCTTGTCCTCGCATGCTTCTCCTCATGTTTTAATCATCTCAAATTAATTCATCCCATGTGTTTTTTTTTTTAAATTATTTATCTTACTTAGTATCCAGATGTCCTGCTCATCAAAAGTGTGAGTTCAAATGAAAGTGGTGAATTAATGAAATGAAGCTGACATTGAACCAGGGTAAGATTAAGAAAAACGTCTTGGTTGATACAACCCCAGAATACCGAGGGGAGAAGTGAAAGTACAAAAGAAGTCGCAAAGAAGGTATAAATCTGAGAAAGGAAGAATAATCCCATTTATTTCATGTTGTGCAGGTATGGGCTGGCGTGCAGATCAAACAGTGAGGTCCTATGCCTTTATATACTTTGAACTTTAATATTTTGTCACACACAAGACAAAAAAGTAAAGTTTACTGAAACTTTATGAGATAAACCAACATGAAGAAACTGTGCAGCTGAAGGAAAATGACAAGAATGTGGTGTTTTGATGTATTAATCCCCTTTAATCTGATCCCCTGCAACAAATTGTCTTAAGAAGTCATCTATTTAGTAAATACAGCCCATCTGTTCAGAAATGAATAGTATTAGTGTGCATTTGTATTCAGTAAGTTTTACTGTGATCACAACTGAAAGTCATTGCCCTGTTGAAGGTGAATCTCCATCCTTGTAACAGCCTTTTACAGATTTTAACAGAGTTTCTCCCAGGGTTGCCCTCCATTTAGCTCAATTTTCCCATAAAACCTTGGGATATTCTTTTATCACCTAAACTTTTTTTTTTAAACTTCCCCATTGTCCATGTGTTCCTTCGCCTTCATGATGCTGTTCACTCACTAATGTTGTCCAACAATCTTCAGTGAACAGCTGCACTTATTTTGAGATTTATTTGCCCCGCGCAGGGTTTCCCCCAGATTACTTGCTATGCCGGCTGATGGTGCAGTCCACCATGTTTATGTGTTGAGAATTGTTAATAGTTGACATGTAATTAAAAAATACGACTATGCAATTGTGACATTGGAAGACATTATTGGTAACATTTTAACAAGCATATAAAAAATATAATTATAATGAAACAGATATAACCGTTTTATACTTCAGATAAATCCTATTAAAGTAATCGACAAATGGATCTCTTTAAAAATACAATTCAATTAAAACAAATATTGCCTAAAATGGGTATTGACCAGTATTTGTATGCCAAATTCAAGTATTTATTGTGTTATGATTTTTTTTTTTTCGCATTTCTTGTATTATCTAAATGCTACAGTTGTGTTTAATAATGACTGCCATTTGATGCAGTATTTTGATTTGCTGGTTATGATAGAAAGTGTTTATGGAGGTCCTGGGAT